ATCTTAGAGGTCTCTTCCAACCTTGATGATTATGTGATTATATTAATCATTTAGCATAATTCAAAACGAGAACATAAAATTGTTATACTTCACACAGAATTTAAGCAACATTGATTCCAGTGTACTTCCCTTCTGCAGATACACCTTTGATTTGTTTTTTCTTTTTTATTCCACGATGTCAATGACAGCACAACTTGCTCACCTGACTTTATTTGCAGGTTTATTGGCATTCAAGTGCTCATATTCTTGGAGAGGCCATGGAAGGTTATTTTGGAGGCTGCTTATGCTATGGACCACCAATTGAGAATGGATTTTATTATGACATGTACATTGAAGACAGGTAAAATTTCAGTGTTGAAAAACTTTAATACTCTGTATTGAAGCTCAGTACTAGAATTATTTTTGCTTAGTTACGTTTCTGCGTATTAAAAGTAAAATCATGTATCTCACATGAAAAAAAACTGACAGATTAGTCTTCTTTATAGTATAGGTCTGTGTATACATATAAATTGAGTGTGTTTGGACACCTGCTCTGTTAAGACCTGTAGCTGTTGAATGTTCTGTGAAAAAATGTTGTGTTTAAGTAAAGCTTTCTGAAGTTCCTGAGAGATAGAGGAGACAATTTCCTTGAAGAAATATGGGACTTTGGTTTGAAAGTGCTATAATCACTCGTAGAAATGCCATGTATGCACGTAAGTCATATAGGTGTTTACTGCTTCTCTAATCCTTGTGCACAGCTTACAGTTCTGTTTTTTTCCTTATCTTTCTGTAGTCAGGGAAAAGACTGAATCTGCATTGGCTGATAAAGTAGCTCTTTCAGCTAGGTTGAGCCTTTTTTTTTCCCCCTCCTTAAAAATAAGAATCATATATAGGTTGAGCTACAGATCTTCCAGACATTTAAACATATCATAGACTGTTGTAGGAGTGACTGCAGTGGGTTTGTTCAGAGTGATACCATTTGTGTTTCTAAGTTCAGTGTCTGAAAATACAGCTGGTTGTAAGAAAGTAAGAAAATACTTTAACAAATCCCTGTTTTTTTTTAAATTAGACCACTATAAAGTGGTCACTTAAAAAACAGGAGTATCAGGATAATTGATATTTGTTTTGCATGTGTCTTTTTGTTTAGAGGTGTATCTAGTACTGAATTTCCACTACTAGAGAACCGCTGTAAAAATATTATAAAAGAAAAGCAGGCTTTTGAACGGCTGGAAGTCAGAAAGGAGATCCTGTTAGACATGTTTAAGGTAAATCTTTGGACTGTCCATGATTCTGGTACAATGATCTTTTAAAATATAACTTTGATAAAATACTGCATGTGACTGACTCATCAGAATAGTTACCTGTCCAGTAAAACAAAGAAAAAGAATAGCATCCTTTTCCCGTCTCCATGTCCCTCTTAAGTGTTCAGAATGTTTTCAGGCAATAATAAAATTCCTTATTGAGCTTGAGGTGTTTTTGTGTAATGAGATGACAAAGAAATTAGTACACAAAAGGCGTGCATTCAGTCTGGCTCGCTTGCAGAGAGAAGTCAGAAAAGACTTTGTCCTCTCGTCCTCCACCTTTGAGGTGTTCATGTGGTGATCACTATGCTTAACACACCCTCAGGGAAATGCAGATATTTTTGTCTCTTTCCTCTCGTTTTATAACTCTTCTGAAAAGATGCTGAACTTTTGCATGCGTATGTGTGACCATGTGACTTCTTAGTTGTCTTTTACTGATGGACTTGCGTTATTGATACACACTTGTAAACTAGAGTCTTATTAGCCGTTTTATTGATGTTTATGACTGCATGTTTCCCCACACAGTATAACAAGTTTAAATGCCGTATCCTTAATGAGAAGGTGAACACACCAACTACCACAGTATACAGGTAAACAAAATGAAGTTAAAAGTTACTATGAAATAATTCTATAGTTAGGTGTATTTCATTTAAATTGAGTGGAGAAGAGTTTTTTAATTCTAACTTCTGAATACTTGTGTGATTGGAACTTAAGTTTGCAATTAATATTGCTGCTGATGTAGAATCGGGTATTTTCTTTCTCTGCTGGGACAGATGAGGTCTCAATTTGTGGACAGATGGCAAATCCACTTTTTTCACTCATTCTCTCTGGTTTCAGTAAACAGATTAAAACAAATTACCACCCATGACATTGAATTGCTGGATAATGGGTAAAGCCAACTCTTAGTTCAGTGTGGGCTGAGGATCCTGTTCATTCAGTTGCCAAGGATAAAACTAGTTAGTTGGAAAATGGCAAAAACATTCTTTCTGTTTGAAGTGCATAGTTTGACATTTCCTGGGCAACGTTATGAAAATTTACATGTGCAACTACAGGAATTACTGAGTGTGTTATGATGCTTCTGATAATGGATCAAGTGTGCTGAGAATTTACTGAGTGTATATTCTGCTCCAGGTAGAAGGCGTGTTTACATTTAAGATGCACTGAATTTGCTGGCTGTTGCATATATCTACTTATTAGTGTGCCTGAATATGTCAAGCATTAATTTATATGCTGTTAGTGACTGTACTAAAGGTTGGAGTGTTTTGAAATAAACACTTTTTTTTTCTTTTGGTGTGTAGATGTGGTCCGCTGATTGACCTCTGCAGGGGTCCACATGTGAGACACACTGGAAAAATTAAAGCCCTTAAAATATTTAAGGTAAGTCTCAATTAACTGTGCATTACAATTAACCAAACTATGGATCAGTTGACTTATTTATGCATTTATTTCTCCTGAAGTGGTTACGCTAGGGTCCTTTGTGTTGTTTTCTTTGCTTACCTGGAAAATAGTCCTTCATTTCTTTCCCCGCTCCCATCGTACATGTAGAACCACAGACTTTAATCATTCATCTGCTTCCAAGGTTTACTGGTTCTTGACCGTCACAGCAGCACATCAGTGAAAAGTTAACAGCATTTTTTTATCCATAGTGCATAGTGTAATAACATCCATGCTTAGACTGTAACGAGGAGCACTGCAAAAAATAGTCAAGCTGATAGTGACTAGATTAGCTCTGAAACCAATCATACCATGCACAATAGAGAAGTGCAATGCGTAAGTTAACGTGGCAGTATGTTGCTAGTATCTCCAGCCAGCACTGCAGTTTGTAGTACAGAGGTCAGTACTCAGTACTGAGTCCGTACTCTCTGTCTCATCTGTGTGCAGTGTGTGTGTGCATTCTGTTCTGCAGTAAATGAACATCAAGGATAGATATTCATTGGGGCAAAAAACCAGTGTTTTCACCTTGTAAGGTGGTATCTTTCAGATACAGGAGGTAGAGTGAACACTGGCAGATCTGCAAGTGCTGCTGTTTAAAAATGGCATTGCTAACAGGAAAGCCAGAGGTGGTGTTTGCAGATGCCTCTGATTATGATGTAGTTTAAGTTATTAAATACACAAGATGCTAATTTTGGTAACCTTGTTAGACTGACCTCATTGGGACATTCATCATAGTTGCTTTTGCTGGCTTCCTAACTGAAGTTTTTGGAACTCAGAGTTCAGTGTTATGTTGTCCAAACAGCTGGGATCTAACTGTGAGAGTGAGTTGGTTTCGTTTTGTCTTGTCTTTTGTGTTTCCCTACTGCATTATGTTGTGAATGTAAACAAGTTATGCTTTTTCAGAAGATGTAATGTGAGATAACAAAACATGCCATGATGTGAGCTAAAACAAGGTACCTAAGTAGAATAGAAGTACAGCTTAACCAGTCACTTTCTGTTTGTTGTCTGTATAAGTATGCTGACTAAAGGGTACTGGAAGTATCTTTGTATTCCAAACAAATGCTGAATGACTGCATGTAATTATTTTCCCGAGGGCAAAAAAATCATAACATTTTAGTGTATTAGTGTTAATTCCTCCTTTCTCTGAGATTATATAGTATTATTTTAAAGTATGGGTTTTGTGAATCAGAATTCCTCTACATATTGGGAAGGAAAATCTGACATGGAAACTCTGCAAAGAATATATGGAATATCTTTTCCTGATAACAAAATGATGAAGGAATGGGAAAAATTCCAGGAAGAGGCCAGAAGCCGGGACCATAGGAAGATTGGAAAGGTACGCTGTTTCATGGTCTGCTTCTCTTTTATGCTCTGTAATGGAATTCATCCTCTTCTGGTTTGGGATTTTTTAAATTTATTTTTGATAGTTTGAATGTGAGCCAGTTCTATGAATTTATTGGTGTCAGCTGTGCTTTTTAAAATTTTAATGCTACAAACTCAGCTTGTCACTTGCATACGGATGTTAAACTAATGTTTGGAATAAGTAATGGGGTAGTCCCTTGGTTTAGGGAAGTGTATCTTAAACGAGTTCATGTAGGGTCTTTTTAGATCCTACTTAAAACACTCTTTTTCATAGAAGAGAAAAACTATTGAAATTGTATAGATAATACGGTTTGGTCATTCTTTATTATGGGCATAGATAAGGTAATAAATGTATGCAAATGCCACACTTCAGCTGTTGTTGTAAATATTGTTCATACATTCCTCTACTAGATTTAAATGAACAGATTTAATTTTAAATTGAGTGTAAATGGGGAGACATTAGATTGACACAGATGAGGATTGTGACCTAATGGTCACGTTGGTGTGTAGTCTCCTAGTTGTTGTCCTCTTTGCTATAGTTTTGTAGAGGAGTTATTTGAGAGAAGATAAGCAGCAGCTTTCTTGATTAACTACCATTGCTGGGAACTTGCAGACTTCTGGAGATCATTTTGTTGCTGTAATGTTTCCTTTTTGTGAATAGTCTCAACACGTGAGGTGGTCATGCTGTCACATAGTCACAGACTCATGTGGTGTTACAGCGCTCTGGTTTTAATTTACCTAGGAGCAGGAGCTCTTCTTCTTTCATGATGTCAGTCCTGGAAGCTGCTTCTTCCTCCCCAGAGGTGCCTTTCTTTATAACACACTCGTGGATTTCATACGAGTGAGTATATACTAATGTGACTCCTAACAAGTTTAATACCAGTTATTGATCTTAAGTGATAGGCCAGTCATAGCACTCGGCGATCCTCAGAGAGACATCTGTGTATGCAAATGTATACCAGATTTTCAGTGTTGTTATACAGATCTAACCTTTTTGAAAATAGAGCAGAGTAAAGCACTGAAACACGCTTTTTCCAGCTGTGTAAAATGTATATATGCATTAGTTGTTTAGTGTCTGAGCAAATCACCATCTTAAGAACACAGGTAAAAAGAGACAGGGTTTTGCTTGTCAGAAGCTTTATCACCTTTTAAACGTTTAATTTGTTTTATAGGAGGAGTATAACAGGCGTAATTTTACTGAAGTTCTATCTCCAAACATCTTCAACAGTAAACTCTGGGAAACTTCAGGTCACTGGCAGCACTACAGTGAAAATATGTTCTCTTTTGTGGTTGAGAAGGAGACTTTTGCCCTTAAACCGATGAACTGTCCAGGACATTGGTTTGTACTCTCAACTGAAAAACTTCTTATTTTACTATATTTATCCTTTATGGGGCTCAGGGGAAATAAATGTAGTATTAAGACATGTTACCATGTGTGTTTACATAGACTGCTAAGCAGCTAGTGTGTCCAGAGAGCTCCCCTGGCAGTGTCCCAAGCTGACCAACTCCAGTTCTTGTAGGAGGATCTTTCAGTAAGTCTGCACTAAGTGAGCTACATTTGTGTGAGCTACATTAGTCTGTACCACTAGTAAATGCAAATTATGTTGGGTAAAGATAGGCATCAGATGTGGTGTACCAAAAAAAGGGACAGATGAACCCACCTTGATTGTTACTGTCACAGTGTTTTCTCTAGATAGTCCTTAGCAATATATTCAGAGTGCTGCACTTTTTCTGTTTGCCTGCCTTTTAGGATATAGACAACCTGAACGTATAAATACTGATAAATAACCTGGACAGGCTGGAGAGTTGGGCAGGGAGAAATGTAATGAAATTCCACAAAGGCAAGTGTAGAGACTTGCATCTGGGAAAGAACAACCCCATGTACCAGTATAGGTTGGGGACTGACCTGTTGGGGTGCAGCACAGCGGAAAGGGACCTGGGGATCCTGGTGGACAGCAGGATGACCATGAGCCAGCAATGTGCCCTTGTGGCCAGGAGGGCCAGTGGCATCCTGGGGTGTATCAGAAGGGGTGGTTGTAGGGCAGAGAGGTTCTCCTTCCCCTCTACTCTGCCCTGGTGAGACCACATCTGGAATATTGTGTCCAGTTCTGGGCCCCTCAGTTCAAGAGGGACAGGAACTGCTGGAGAGAGTCCAGTGCAGAGCCACAAAGATGCTGGAGGGAGTGGAGCATCTCCCTTCTGAGGAGCGGCTGAGGGAGCTGGGGCTCTTTATCTTGGAGAAGAGGAGACTGAGGGGTGAGCTCATTCACGTTTATAAATTTGTAAAGGGCGAGTGTCAGGAGGAAGGAGCCAGGCTCTTCTCAGTGGTAGCCAATGACAGGACAAGGGGCAATGGGTGCAAGCTGGAGCATAGGAGGTTCCATGTGAACATGAGGAAAAGCTTTTTCACTGTGAGGGTGCCAGAGCGTGGCCCAGGCTGCCCAGAGAGGTTGTGGAGTCTCCTTCTCTGCAGACATTCAGAACCTGCCTGGGCGTGTTCCTGTGTGACCTGTTCTGGTGATCCTGCTCTGGCAGGGGTTGGACTTGGGGAGCTTTCAAGGTCCCTTCCAACTCCTAACATTCTGTGTTTCTTCGTTACAAATGTAATTACTGTCTGCACTGATCTTTTTTTAGTTTCTGTGTTGTCTTAAATCTTCTATAAGAAAGGTAAAAGGAAGGTTCTTTCATTTCCTTCTAGCTTGATGTTTGCCCATCGTCCACGGTCTTGGAGGGAGATGCCTCTCAGACTTGCAGATTTTGGAGTTCTTCACCGAAATGAACTCTCTGGGACTTTAAGTGGCTTGACTCGTGTAAGGCGCTTCCAACAAGACGATGCTCACATCTTTTGCACAATGGAACAGGTGAAAAAAAAACCAAACAAAAAAACCCCAACCAAAAACCAACAACAAAACCAAACAAAGACCAAAATCCCTCCTTCTGCCCTCCCAGCGCAAGCCAACATTAGACAAGAGAAAAAATCTCCGGAGTGTTTATTTCAACTCTGTTGTGTTTCTTTGTAGTTTAATGCTGCTTTCAGTTGGGTTTTTGATGGGTGTGGGTGCTTCCTTCTTTGTCATCTGGCATTCCAGGTTTCTTCACCTTCTGCAGTACTGCTGAAGTCAACAGCCTGTTGAACTTCGATTCTCTGTTACAATTTTCTAAAATAGCAGTGCCATGATTTTTTAATTATTTTTATCTTTGCCATTCAAAAATGCAAAAAAGAATTTTTTTTTTCTATCAAAAGAAGAAAACAGTGTCATTTGCAGGGCATTATTGATTGTGAATTACACAACAGGGTTCTTTTGTACAGTTTTTCCCTTTAGAGAGAGGCATTAGGCAACTGAATTGCAAAAGGTAGAAGTCTTTTGCGTTTCACATCTCCCCCTGCAAAGAAGAAAGCTGCTGACCACATTTTGTTTTCCATAGTAATGCTGAATGCTTTTGTCAGTGATGTCGTAGATTTTAGTGGAGTTATGTGAATAAATCAGTGTGATCTTGTCAAGTCTGACTCATGCAATTTGGCTCCAGAAGCTCAGGTTCAATAAGAACAGTATTTGTCATGCTTTGAAGCCACAATACCTCAGTTCTCTCTTCACCTATTACCTGGGTTTGGGAGATGTACTTTTCAGGTGGTTTTTAATTTATTTTTTTCATTTAATGGACTCTTTTTTTATACTGTGATTATGAGGGATTCAGTAAATCAAAATACATTTTTATGTAAGCAGATTTTAACTCATAGATTTTGTTTATGTTTAAGATTGAAGAAGAAATTAAGGGCTGTCTTGATTTCTTGAAGTCAGTGTATGCTGTCTTTGGTTTTACCTTTCAACTACATCTTTCTACGAGACCAGAAAATTATCTCGGAGAGTTAGAGATCTGGGATCATGCAGAAAAGGTAATTCATTTAAAAACAAACACACACCTTAATATTTGCATTTGCAGGGGTCGATATTTAACTAAGTCCTTTCAAGTTAAATTTTGAAACTAGTGAGATTGTTTAAATCACATGCTAAATATTGTCCTTAGTGGAAATGCTTGTTGAAAAATGTCACATTAAATGTGAAGTTTCTGTGTGAAGTGAGAACTTACTCATTCTTCCTTAGCCCCTTATCTTGTACTGATTTCATTTTTATTAATCTTTCTTTCCAGTTATTCAAACACTTGTACAAGGAACTAACCTTATTTCAAGATTATTTATCATAACTGACTAAATGTTGAACAATAGGAGTCGTGCTGCCTGTTGACTCCAGTCGTATTTCAAAGGCAAAAGCTTTGACTTAAAGTAATGAAAGACCCTGCTAAAAGTTTTTTAATTAGTCTCTCATTTTTATGGTTAGCAACTTCAAAACAGCTTGAATAACTTTGGAGAGCAGTGGAATTTGAATCCAGGAGATGGAGCATTTTATGGGCCTAAGGTTAGTGAATCAGCATTTTAATGCGGCTTTGTGATGGACAAGAATACAGACACAATGCAGGCAAACTATATTTAACAACTGTGTTATTTTGCTTCACAGATTGATATTAAAATCCAAGATGCTATTGGCAGATACCATCAATGTGCTACTATCCAACTTGACTTTCAACTACCCATTCGATTTAATCTTACATATGTTGGGTGAGTGGTTAAGCTAAAGATCTTCTTCTTTTAAATGAATTAATTTAAAAAATATAAGTGGTTACTTTCATCATATGTAATTGCCATTAACCTGAGATGTATTAATGCTCTACTGCTCACTTAAATGATTTGCCTGTGCATCAGTAGCCTGGTTAGGAGAGCAAACATCCCTGGTGAATAGAGGACTGAGTCACAAACCTGAAGATAAATTCCTTAATGTAATCATAGCTCACTTTAATTGTAAATGCTACTGATGGCAGGAAAAACTCATTATCTGCCATTGTAGCAGACAACTGATCATACATGACGCTAAAGAAAACTCTGAGTCAGTTTTCACTTTGAGCTTAGCTGCTGTGTCTCCTTTGAAGACAATGCATTCAAATTCAAACATGTCTTAAGGAGCAAGCGTGTTCGTAGTAAGTACTGCGTTCTTTTAGTCACATACAGTTAGTTAACTTTGAACATTAACCAGATGTGAAGAGTCTTTAATTCTCACTTTGGCTTCCAGCTAGGAAGAGGGATAATTGTCCATTGAGTGAATGAATCTTACGTTGACTTGAACACACATTTTCTGGCTTGTTTTTATTGCCATGTTTGTTTTGGCATATTATAAAGAGTTTGATGGGAATGATGGCATCTGTTATTTTTTGGGCCTGCTGCATGTTATGCAGTAGACATTCGAGCTCTTTGGTAGGTGATAGTACTGTTAAAAACAGCAGTTGGAGTTTTTTTAGTCAGAGGACTGTAATTTAATTAAATAAATGAACAATAAGGGCAGGTAAGATCTTGTGCAACAAAATAAAAGCAAGACATAATGGAAAATAAAGAGCGAGGAAGAACTTAAAATGTTAAAACACACAGAAAGGGAGCTCAGTCCGTAGAGTGTCTTTTCAAACTTAGGAGTTTGTACTTATGCCACTAGCTACAGGCATCGTTATTTTACGTCATTGTGATAATTTGTATTCTTTTAAAAGCCCAGGTAACTTTTAAAAAGTACATTTTTATGAAAAATGGTAGATTTTGCTTAAGTATAAGTAACTAGATTTTTGGTTTCCCATGAAAAGCAGGATAATAAAATACTGGTAGGACTATCTGTGTGTGAGCTAAGAGGGTTTTTTGTAAAAAAAAAAACAACTTTGCTTATTCTTTTTCAGTAAGGATGGCGATGATAAGAAAAGGCCAGTGATTATTCACAGAGCTATTTTGGGATCTGTGGAGAGAATGATAGCTATTCTAGCAGAAAATTATGGAGGAAAATGGTATGTGGCACAAATGCAGTTCTAAGAAATGTTTAACAATGTAGAAAATGCAGATCTTCCCTAATGTCCCTTATATTATAAGGCAAAGTAACATCCCTAGAATTTTCTCAAAATTAGTAGCTAAGATTACAAGAAAAGAAGTCTAACTTTATGGCCTGAGTTGTGTGATATCCTTTTATGAATGGTTCATTATTGGAAATTAAATTTCATGAGATTGCAGAAAAAAATTATACTATAAAGCAGATAAAAGAATTGTAATTGAATGTGTATGTGCTGTATTATTCTTGTTCTTTTTCTCTTAAAAATCATTCTTTTGTACTGGGAAGATGTTAGACGTATGTAAAGCAATTACTTAAACAGACATGAGTTAGTCCTAATATGTGAAATATTTTTTTAACTTGTTTTATCTTGAATAAGCTCTGGAGATACTTCTTCATTAATGTATTTGAAGTATTAAGGAAGAGGTAATTCTTTGAGCCACCTATCTGACTGTCCACTTTTCACTATGAAGTTATAAATAAAAGTGGAAATGGTATGAAAAAATAAAATGCTCTTTAAAATTGCAAAGTCAGCTAGGAAGTGAACAGAAAATACAAGTTTTGTGTGTGTACGTTGTTTTACTGGATCAACCTATTTGGTATGTTATGTGAACCTGAAGAGAGGAAGATGACATTATCCAACATCCTTAGCTAGCATAAGTATTTCTATAGAGTAAGTGAATTATTATTGGGAAACATGATTGTGGAGATGAAGGCAAATGTAAAATCCATGTTACTTTTCTTTTTCCTTGCTTGCTTGCCAGGCCGTTCTGGCTGTCTCCACGGCAGGTCATGGTTGTGCCTGTGGGACCTACTTCTGAGGAGTATGCCCAGCAGGTGAGAGTAGGGCCTGCCTTTTTATAGTAGCAAGGAATTTTAATAGTTCCTTAAGTACTTGTCCTGGAACAAAGAATGAACGGTTTCATAATTTTGGGACATATTTGGGTGTGTGTGTGTGGGTGTGTGTAAATATTTCCACTTAGTCTAGAACTTGTATAAGCCTGAGAAAGGGATCTGTAACTCTTAAGTGTTTGGGGTTCTGTTACTATGTACATACTTTAATAATTATTAAAGGAAAAAGCATTCTGGATTACAGACTTTATGTACTAACTAATGTTTAATTACAGAATTACCTGCTTAAAGTAGGGGCAAAGCTGGCTGCTTCCATTTCCCAGCATGTATGCTCTTGACTACCTTACATTTGACCATGGTTGTTTTTACCCCCCTCTGCTGCTTTTCTTTTAATGCAAGCAATGTAAGTGGTTTTGTTTCTTCTCTGTCTCCTCTCTCAGACTGAGGAAACATTTTTGATACTCAGCAGTGGAGCTGTCTGGGGAGATTAGCAAATGTTTAATATGGATGTTACCTTGTATTGTCTTCCAACTGGAGTCCTGCTAACCCTTTAAGTGTGTGTGCAGTTTTCTTCAAATAACTTCACTGACTTCCTTAAAAGAATTTCCAAAAGCAAAACGAATTAATTATCAGAAGAGATGAAGGATTACAGCATGTGCACCTTTATGTTATAGAATATATACTGTGATGTTAAGTGAGAGTTTTTTGGTTGTGTTTTGTTTTTTCTTTAGGTTAGCAGTCAATTTTTTGAAGCCGGATTTATGTCAGATGTGGATCTAGATCAAAGTTGCACATTAAACAAGAAAATCAGAAATGCACAGCTGGCCCAGTATAACTTTATCTTAGGTAAATGCAGCATCTTAAGTTTCTGAATATCATTTAAGTTTTCATGTTGATCTAGAGTTTGACTAGATCCTCATTTTGTAATGTAGGTGGTAATTTAAAATTGTTTGTGATATGTCTTGCAGTGGTTGGGGAAAAGGAGAAAGCAAATAATGCTGTCAACGTGCGGACAAGAGACAACAAAGTTCATGGAGAGATCTCGGTATCTGCTGCTATTGAAAAACTCATGAAATTTAAGAGTTCACATATTCTAAATGCAGAAGAAGAGTTCTGATGTTGCTGTTAGGAAAAGCCAAACCAAATCAAACCAAACCATTAGCTGCCCATGTGAAATGGCATTTCTTTCCTCCTGTACAGCAGTGATGCTCATCCAAAATGACTTTCAGTTGCTGGATATAGAAAAGAAGCAAACGTAGCAATATTGGTGCTCCAGGAATAGCGTGAGAGGACAGATGCAGCTGCTAACTCCTTTGACAGTCCCATGGGATTCCAGTTTGTACAGGGCGCTGAATGCTTATTTAAAAAGCCCTACACTTCTGCTGAAATATGTTGGTTTTGCTGTGAAAATAAATGAGGGCTGCAGGAAGTCAAGGAACAGGAGGCTGAGGAGCATGCTGGCTGCTGCTGCGCTTGCTGAGCTGCTTCGGTCACAGAGCAGTTGTGTAACTGATACAACCTGGAGTCCAGGCCTTGGCAGGTGGGGGGTGCATCAGGAGCACTTGGGGTTCGGTTTTCTTCTGATTCCTGATGTCACTTGGGTTTGGGGATTTTTCTGGATGAAGGAGGGAACAGCTTGATTCCTCCCGAATTTATGTCCACAGGCTACAAATACATTGGTGTCTGTCCTTGAAATCTCAGTAAAACAAGGAAGGCCTTGATTGAGTTGGTGTGGTAATTGGTTGCTGTAAAGGTAATTGCCAAGAGTGAAGTTGAATTACTTGCCATATCTGTGTGTGGAAAGTTGGGGGTTGGGGGTTTTTTCCCTATGTTTGCTGGTTTGGCTTTTTACTAAAACCAACCTTTGAAAAAAATCTGTGTAATTTATTTCTGTACTTGCTTGGGATACTGAGAACACTGAAAAGGTACGGATGACAATTTTCATTTTAAAACAGCATGTTGGAATTTATGCTTAAAATGATTCTAAATTTACTGTTGCAGGCAATTGAATCAGATTTTTTTGTTTTGAGAAATGCATTTTACCACTTTTTTTTCCACTTTTTTATGCTCTTTTTTATTACCAGGCTTAGATAGTGTTCAATATGTTACTTGATTATCTAAACTATACCACTGCAGTTGTTGTTTAAATGTCGCTGAAAGGAAGCAGAAAATACTATATAGTGCATAAATGTTAGACAAATACAAAGGTTGTGTTTTCCTTCTGCCTGACACTTGTACAGAGTCATTCAATAGTCCTGGTTTTAGTTTTGTTTTAATTTGGCTGTTTCTACCACTTTTAAAAGAAAAAAAAAAGGGAAGGAAAAAAAATGAAAGAACAAATGCGTATTTATTATTAATAATCTGTGTAATACCATATTTTACGGACTACAGCAGGCTACCTGCTGGGATGTGTGACATTCACACTGCAGCATCGAATGTTCCAGCTTTCTCGCCAGTGCATTTCTAGGTTTCGCAAAGACAAGACTCATCTTTTAAGATGCATGTGTCCCTGCTGTTGCCATTTACGTTTTCAGATGCCCCGCAGCAGTGAGGGCGGTCACTGAAGGACATAAATCAGTGAAAAATCACCCACATTTACGTTGTCCGCAGGAGCAGGGCCTAGAGCGGTGGCTCCGCCTCGCCCGGCCCGCCCCTCGCCGCGGGCGGCGGCAGGCAAGATGGC